ATTTCCCCTTTCAAAGCACCAATTATTGAAACACACCCATGAGGGACAGAAATTTATGGAACTTCCTATACTTATATAACCCTTGCCAATAAGGAAAGTTGGACCAAAAGACCTGACAAAGCCTGATGTTATATCTCTTAATCCATCACAGTTAGAAGCAGATACTCTATGGAACTGGACAATCTCCAACACATCAGCCCGTAAAAATGAAATCATCATGATGAGCATCTGCTTTTCTACATAATTTGAAAACTTTCAAATGGCACATAATGTGCAAGTATCAAATTTGGAAGTCCAAGAGGAGTTGGTTGCCAAAGGACTCACGGCTGCAAGGACACTCAGTAGGCAAATAAGGGCCAAGGTTGTTCAAGGGACGATTTTTTCAGAGTTCTTAATCATTATTACTGAGAAATCAAGAAAAAAAAATGTTTCCCAGGGCAGGAATCGTGGCTAGGCAATATTATGGTGACAAAGGAGGTATATAAACATGTAACACACAGGAAGTTAAATCTCGTCTGGAATGAGTTGCCTCCAGAACTGGAAGCAGGATGGCTGCACGAGCATGGCTGAGAGCCCAGATTAATTAGCCCTGCTGAGAACATGTGAACATGGCTATTTGGCTTCCAGGACCTGGCTAGTGCAGCTGAATGGGAAAGCAGGACACTGCCAGGACAGCTCCAAGGGCTTTGGGGAGAGATCAAATATCTACACAACACAGAAATACCAATAATGATCATGGGCCAGTTATCCCTGGTCACAGTAAAGGCATGGCTACACTATATCCAGGACAAGAAAAACTTAACTTCCACACACCAGCAGCCCTGTGGCAAAGCCTGTGGAGACTCTGGACTTGGAGCCACAGAGGAATAGCTCCCTCCTGCCATTCTGGGAATACAAATTGCTCTGAACACCAGACGGGAGGCAAGGTCACAGCCTTGAACTCTGCTGATGTTCATGGCTTTGGAAATAAATTACATTACCCAAAGGTGGAATGCAGGGTGTGTCCAGGGCCCTCGACTCAAGAGCTCTTAAAATGATTACATTCCAGTGTGCTTAGAAAGTACAGTTTAACCAAGAGGGCTGTGCCTAATTGCAGTATTCTTTTCCCCAGGTACAGCTTGGTATATATAGGGGTGGAACAGTATTAAAAAAAAGAAAAAAGGGAAAAAAAAAAAGGAAAAAAAAAGACAAAGAGCTCACTTGTTCCCACTAGAACAAAGGCTGCTTCTGGATACCAAACACTTTGGGAAATATGGGGAAAACATCAGGGGCTGAAGTCTGATTTCTTGGCAGTCGGGGTCTCAGAAACCAGCCTCTATGACTGCAAGCTTTAACTTTTGCAATACATCACCAAAACCATTAAAGAGAAGCTTGTAACACAGCAAATGCAAACCGCTGTAATAATAAACAGGATTTTCATACTGCAGCAGAGAGACTACTGCTTTTGGCTAATTTCCACTTCATTCCAAGAGGATGAGGTTGTAACTATGAAAAGATGTGTTTCTATATAGATAACAAACAAACAAAGCTCCAACAACTTTCCTCCCTCTTCAAAACTTTTTCTGTGACTCCTCTATGTCAGATTTTTATTTCTCCCTTTATTTGAGTGGGAAAAATAGGAGAGAAAACTGTTCTTTTCTAGGGCTATACTTGTACATATACAAGGTTGTCAATAAATAGAATTAGAATTCTGCCATGATTTAGTGGTGAATATGTACAAAAATGAGGCTGACTTGCTACTGGACTGCATAGACCACAGTGTATGGATGCTGAAATTGTACTTTTTTTCAAAATCTTTCTCAATGTGTAATGACTGTGTCCTGTCTTTATCTGATACAAAGAGGTTCAGCACTGTGGGCTGGAAGACAGTGTAGCTCTAAAAGCTTATGCCTGTGTTTCTAGAAATAGGAATAAGTGGATCCATGCTCTTAAGAAGTTAAGGTTTGGGTGATCAATTAATATACTATGTCTAACTGCAAGCATTTTAAAAAAGAAATAAATTTTGCTGGCTAAAATAGTAATTTTTCTTTTTTGTTATGGCCTTACATGAAAAGAAAACCAATAACCCCAAACACTGCAAATTATGTACGTATGAATACACAAGAAATAGTATCAGGTATTGCAGACAGGGCAATGATACTTTTACTGCCTTGCTCAAACCAAAAACAGGAAATGCCATTTGCCATGATAAATGCCACAACTGGTTCTGAAAGTGGCTGTTGAAAGCAGTTCCTCCCCAGTGCCAGTGACACACAGGAGAGATGATGCAGAGGCGAGGGAGGCTGTGCAGAGCTGCAGCGGCTGCGCTCCGGCAGCGCGGGCTGCGGGCACTGCGTGCAGATGCTCTGCTGAACAGCACAAGGGACAGTGCTGGACTCTGGGCAAAGAGCTGCCAGCAAGAGCACTGCAGTCTTCTGGCTCTGAGAGCAGCTGGGAAAGGGGAATGCTTTCCAGAGGTTTTCCCTAAGGGAGGGGATCGCTGAGAGACCATATTGTTGAACCCTTGGAAATTAGCCAAAGAATAGGCTGCATTGACTGAGCTCCTTACTAAAAACAAAGCCTGTTCTAATTTCAGCATGTGTTTCTGGCTTTAATGGACAGGAGCCTTAAGGCATGGCGAGGTAGAGAGCAATCAAGTTCTAGTAGAAAAAAACTGTGTTTACACCAAGCAAAATACTTCAGAAGTTGCTGAGCTCCTCCCAAATACTGTTATTCTCTGCTTAAGAGGGAAAGAAGGCAAAGGCTTAACTTCGTGCAAGACAGATCACATTAATGAGACAGTGCAATTAGAAACTGTTGTTATCAATTGTTGCAAAGGCGTTGTTCCCATGTCAGAGACAATTAAGCACAGCAGATGTTTCATACCACAACACAGACCCAAAATATCTCAGTCCATGAACACACAAATCTATTTGCATATTTAATTTATATCAAATACCCACAATAATTCTATTTTTATTATAATAATTAGAAATATATTTTTTTAATTTGATGGTAATTAAGACAAATATAAAAAAGCAGGATTCTGGATTATCAAAAGAATTCTGCAACCAGTGCTCAGTAAATAAAGAAGACAGTGTAGAACTATTAATAATAATCACCTTGCTTATCAGTTTTCATTGTTTTGGTTTGACTACTAAAAATAAAATTCATGACATTTCTCCTGTTAACATGATTACTCTACAAATTCATACTCATTTGAGGTATGATTATACACAGTCATTAGGATTTCCTTACAATACATTTGCTTTTATAATGATAGCTTATCTCCCTTTTTCTCTAGGTAAAGGATGCTGGTTTTCTCTAGCCAATATATCTTAGTTTACTACACTCTCTCATTTGCCTTGGCTTGAAAATGTTGTCTATCAATTTCTCCTAATGCATTAAGTGCTCTCTCATAATCAGCAAATGCCATGTCTAGCAGCAAATCATAAATGTTTGCATTTCCATTCTGTCATTAATCACACTGCTGTGAAATACCCAGCTAAAGATTATCCATTCTTTTGTCTGGCTAAAAACCTACTAGAGAACTGATTTATGAATGAATGTTTTGTTATCTTAACACTTTAGGTCAAGGACAGAAGTGTGAAATGGCCGTGGCCACTGAAATCTCATTTGGAGCTGGGAGTTTGCTGGACTGCAGAGCAGCTGTAGATCTACACATCCATACACTTGTCCACTCTTTGTTTTCCAGTGTGTGTCCATAGCTGAATGAGTGCTCTTCTCCCATATGCGTCTTATTGCAAATCACAAACACTTTTGTTCATGTACTAATTTTCAAGTTTCTCAAGAAACTTCCAGCAGAGTCACACTGCTCAGAAATTGCAAGTCAGTTAAAACTTCTGAACAAAATCATAGAAATGTACCTACTTGTGTGACTTCTGTGGTGTTGCTGATATCTAATTTATCACAATATAAACATTTGCTCAAAGCTTATGTTTATTATGTTACTAATATGAAGGCAGGTTTCAAGTTCCATTTCCTTGATTTTCACCAGTGATTCCTGAGGACCCAAAGACAGGATGGGAGTGCTTCCACCAACTGCTTCTCTTACTACAGAAGAGAGGGACAGAATGTCCTAGGGGACAAGGGACTGCATAGAGTGTGCATTTGACACAGAAGTCTACAAACCCTTCTGCCACTGTGGATAGAGACCTCAGTGAAACCATCAGGCTGCTAAACAGCAAACTACACTGACTGCTGTCTTCATGTGCAGCAATGATGTTTTTCTTCTTGTCTTTTGAGGAGGCTTCTGCCCTTGACAGAGATGCTCCTCCAAGAAGACTGAAGCTCATCAAAGCCTAAGTCTGTATATACCATTGAGGCACAAACCTTTCATAAAGGGCAAACCCAAGCAGAATGAAGGAGAAAGTGATGGAGTAATCATTCAAAGGAGGTCAGGCATCAGCCAAATTAACTTTTTACATTGCAGGAGACCCAGGGTCTCGTTCCTCCTGGTCAATGGGTCAAGGATTGCTCTTCTTCCAAAGGGAGGAAACCTCCAGGCAGATGTGGGTGTATCTCAGAAACTGTGTATTTCCTTAGCCTCCCCTCACCCCAGCAGGTTATCAGGAATGTGCAGAAACAAATGACTGACCCCAGCTCTCAGCAATGCCCAGGAATGGTGTACAGAGCCAAGCTAAGGAGTGGGTTTGTGCATCCATGCATCAATGGGCACTTTCCACAAAACCCCAAATACCTTGCCACTGTGTACACTTTAACTCATCCACCCTCACTGGAAGCTCATGAACAACACTGTTGCAGTGAAGGAAAATATTTTACTGTTTGGACACAGAATTATAATTTATAAAACAATTAGCTTCTTAAAAGAGGTGCACCATCAATATCAAGTCTGTTTTTTGCCAAGTAAATTTCAGATGGCATTAGTAATCAACGTTCAGAAAAATTACTACAGTGGCTCGTTTGCTAACAAAGGGGAAAACACATTTCTCACAGAAATAAACCACACTTAATTTTTATCAAAAAGATAGAGTCCGCACCTTACAAACTCTCCCAACTCTGGAAAGGATTGTCTTGTCAGATGTGCCACTATCTTGTGATATTTCTCGAAAAAAGAAGTAGATTTTATCATCATCTGGGTTATAGGTATCTGGGATAGGAAAAGTTCCGATGAATTTCGCTCCTGGAAATTAAAAGAAAAATGGGGTTAAAAATCTGAAGAAAAGCCTTAGCACTTGCTGTTAAATTCTGCATTTATGTTACATCTTTCAGTGAAATAAAAATATTATATAGATATGTAGCAGCAACTTTCTTACTAGCTCCAAGTGAAAACCACCATGGAGTCTGAGGTATTTACTCTCAGGCCAATGTTTTTGTGTGTAGCTCTTACTACCACTTGCAAAAGTATGCAGCACTGGTTATCATTCTGTGTTTGGAAACAGAGTAACTCTCAGTACAAAATATTGCCTACACAAATCTACCTTACTGCTTTTGCCACCAAAATGAAGCTAAGTAGATTTTCTGAAATCACCTGGTAGAATTTAAATTAATTACTCATGGCAGCAGTTATCAATAGAGAAATATACTACTGTTTACTAGAGATAGCTTGCAAAGGAGTATTTCCCACATATCTGTAATACAGCAATCTCACTATATCTACCAAATCTGTGGAGTTTTTAACTTTTTTCTGTCAGGGTTGGGACTAAATGTGTGGAATGGTATCTTTTGTTTGGATTTAGATATTTATTAGTTCTTATTTATATTATAGTTTCACAAACTGTGAGTTCTGTAGTACTTCATGTATTTTAACAAACTAAAAAATGGAGCCATATCTCTCTCTGTGAGGCTTTTTAAAGATAAACTATTTAATTAAGAAATGATACTTAAATTATTTTTATTTTTAGCTCAATAACTAACTACTTGTAGTTTGTAATGTGGACTTTTTATTTAATTATACAATATCACCCAAATCCAGGAAGAAGGTGAAGAAGAAGGACTAGCTTCTGCTTTAAAACTTCTATTTTGTTTTATATATATTACTATTTCTAAAGTTTTAAATTCTAAGTTTTTTACTATGTGATATTACACACTTCTATTCAAACTACACATTAATAATCTTAGTTTTATAATTTAATTTTGGACATTTTCTCCATGGCCTGACATCAAATCTAGTGTTCTCTTGGGGGTCAGTGTTTGTCAGCACTAAAAGTCTAAAATTCTCAGTAACCAGGGTTCCAACACAAATCCAACACAGTGCCACACTGGGATTCCCCAGTTAGCACAGCAAACTCCAAAACTGGTCAGTCACTCTTAAGGATCCAGCTCCCTGTTCCTGGAAACAGATTGGCTATATCAATGTAATGGTTTGTTTGGGTTATTTAAATCTGCTTTTTGCACAAAATGCCTTTTTGTGGCATGCTGGACCATTGCATTATTCCTGGTCTCCTCCAAGGCAAGCGTGGGTGTCTGCCTGCATCTTGCAGGCCAAGATGCTCTTGACTGCTCCCAAGCCCCTCATCCATGGTCTCCAATCCTGCTCTACCTGCTCACTACTTTAGGGGTTTTGTTTTCAGTGTTGGGGTTTCTTGTTTGTTTGTTTTCATTTTAATTTTGCACTAGAATCATAACCTGAAGCAATTCCAGGGTCCCTGACTGCAGCAGAGCAGCCAGCAACCCTGCCTTGCACAAGTGAACCAGCTACTTGGGGCAGGGATTTTTAAGACATTCCCCAGTGTGCTGCAAGAGATGAGCTCTTCTGAGGGCACTTGGATCAATGGTGTTTTTCTTTAAACAGAAGTGGCTATACAAATACAGTGCAAAGAGACCCTTGACTCTAAAATACATTCTTTCAGCAATAAAATACACAGTCTTTGTGCCCCAGTATCAGGTAGGCTGCAGTAGAAAGCAATAAGGAGGGTGGTGTAAGAATGCAGAGCAAACAGAGCACACTGTTTATATGGGGGAATACTATTATCAGCTTTCAATATATCTTCATGCCTTTGTCCTTTTCATCATGATTGTTACTTTATATTAGCCTTGAGGAATTTTCACCATGAACTCCACAGTACACATAGAAGAAAAAGGGAGTCCTTGATTCAAAAGTTTGCAGTCTGAGACAAAGGGCCTGAGACAAAATGGGATGTGTTGAAGTGCTCAGTGTGCACCTTTGTGACAGAAGAGCAAATTTATGGGTGAAAACAGTCACAGTGCTGCTTCCATTTTAAACCTTTCTGTCACTAGAGAATAGTGTCAGCAGAAAAAATGAAATGATGCAGGCATCAAGATCTATAAATTTAAGTTAGGATTTCAAAATGAGCTTGAGGAAAATATTCCATCACCCCTCAGGGCCTGTAAGGCTACTTTGAAGATTAGATCTCAAGGCATGAATAAATACACAAATATGCTTCTAGTATGGTTTCTTAAATATGTGGTTAGCAAAATAGCCATTTAAGAGGAAACCTGTGAAATTCTTCTATTCCATGTTTTTGAAAGTCACATCCTTTTTTTTTCTTAATCCACATTCACAGAACAAAACACTGAATGTATGGGTGGGTTGAAGATTAAACTTCATTGCTTTCCTTGGCAAGCCAAATGCAAAAATAAATGTCTCAATACCAATTCCTGGAACAGATTTAGAAGAATCTCTAACTAATTAAAGGAACACCAATATTTAACAATTTTAAATCACAACTGAAAAGACTGAAATTGAAAGTTAAATTCAACAGAAATACATCATAAAAGATATGAAGTGAAAATAATTAAATGGAAGAGATTATGACCTCAAAAGAACATAATGTTCTGTAATTGAGATGTTTGTCTCATCTTTTCTAACCCATCTATCCAAAACATAAAAGTGCATTTAAACTAACTGTGAATTAGGCTTTTGGATTCTTTTTATGGGAGAAAAAACTAATTATGATGATTTTAAACTACTGTTTGTTTTCCCATAGACAGAGCTATCCCCTCCACTATTTGCTTCAGCAGAAGATCTTCCTACATATTAAGTTCATGTGTAGATTGTATGTAACCAGCCTGGGGATTAATGGCTTCATGAGCTCTGGTAATAGATGGTACATGTGCTGCTTGTGCTTTTTTTCATGTGCTCTGATGGGGAAAGCTGATACAGCTGGTTCTTCACTGCTGGGGTGGCTGTTGGTGACCTGCTGGCCATCACCCCCTTCTGAAACCAGCAGTGATTTTGGGCAGTGCAACCTACGGAGAACTTAAACTCAAAAAAAGAGACCCACAAAGCAGTGAGTGTCCCAGAGCACAAAGAAATTAAAAGCAACTCAAAACAGTGGGAAGCAGCACCTCTGTGTGTACCTTGGCTGCCAGGAATACATGGCATGACAGAATACAAAGGACAGTGCTTACCTCATTTACCAAAACCACTTAGAAGTCAAGCTCCTAACCCATTCTCAGCCAGGTCCTCTCTCAGGGAGGGACAAAGTGACAATGAATAATCCTATTTTAAGACAGATTCCTACAATAGGCGGGGTGAGTCACCCTCTGGAAGTGTCACCTCTCTCAGTAAATTACAGAGGCAAGCAAAAGGACTGAGCTCAGACAGGATGCTACATTTGCCTTTTAGAGCTAAGGGAACTGAATCCCATCCAAAGTTCGCAGGATATAAAGAACTCATTGCCTCCAAGACTTTGTCCTGGAAAAGACGACTAAATTGCTATGAAAAAAGTGAAAAGGAAAAAAAAAAAAGAGATGAATGCAGTTCAAGGAAGCCCTCGTTCCAGCTATGGCCTTCCCTTCCTACGAAGGAGGCAGGAATGTGCAGCTGCTCACTGGATGCCTGTGTGAGGGCTGTGGGGCGCTCTCTGCCCACGGGGCTGGCACGGGGCAGACTCAGTTCCAGCGGGTGGCTTTGCCATCCGGAGAGGAGCCACCAGCCCCATGTGCCTCGTCCCTGGGCGAGACAGCTCCAGGGAGCAGCTGTGGGAACCCCAGGTGGCCCAGCCCTGCTCCCCTCTGCTCCAGTGCCACCCTTGCGGGAGGATGAGCACGTGTGAGCCTGAGTCATGGGAAAGATTAGCTGCCTTCCTCCTGCCCCCTCTGCCGAGCTGCTGTTCAGTCACTGAGATTAGGACATGTCTTCATTAGCCAAGATAGAGATGCCCTGCAAGGAACTGGAAGGTATCCCACGCATTTTCCCTCATGCTTTCTCTTTACCTCCCTTCCCTCAGGGAAGGATAATTTTGTTTCCAGAAACAGAATAAGACTAAACTTTAAAAATATTAAGGTGCATTATAGCAAAACTTCCTCGGCCCTCTGGAAGAAAACAAGCTGTACATTTTATGCTTATCCTAAGTAAAACATGAGTCATGCACGGTAATAATTTATTTCCAATTGTACAATTATCCAAGTATGCACAACTTTTACTGGAGGTCTAACACATGCTTGGTAAATGGGCAGTAGATTTAGGGAAGAGGGGATTTACATGAGATGGGAGTTTTAAATCTGAAATCAAGTAAATATTTTCTTTATACCAGTATCGGCTGAAAGCACAGAAGTATGTAATTGGTAACATTACACAATAAACCAGAAATATATTGGCCACCCTATGGCTTATTGCAAAAATGATGCCGTCATTTCAAGTTGCACTTAAAAATATTCTCCAACCTTAAAAGGACTGTTTCAAAATATTAAAAGCACCTAGTTTATGTCTATGCCTCTTAGTATAACACTGAATGGATTGTGTTTGTGAAGTCTTAGACAGAATTGTGGCTGTAGGGTTTTATATGGCTGGAAGCAGGGTAAACCTGAAGAATATATAGGGTCTTCAGTGTTTATATAGTGTGGGGCAATTTTCACCTCACAGTCTAGCACACTAAAGCTGTTTTTCAGACCCAGACATATTAATATACTGTTCTCCTTAGAAAAGTTTCACAAATACAGATGCTTTAAGTGAAAACAGAATAAATTGTGAATCAATATGAATGAGAGAGGAAAGGCAGACACGCCCCCCCCCCCACTAAAACATTTAAACACTTCTCAAAGCTACAGTTTAGTCTGTTTTCTTCTACTGTTCCCTTGCCTCAAACTGCTCATGAAGAAACAACAATAAGAGAAAGAAATGTTTGGAAATGTATTTTTAAGCTACAAGTTCTTTTGGACTGGCAGCTGAACCCTGTAATGCTCATCAATGTGGATCTATACTAATGATTGCACCAGACGCTCCTCAGGGCCAAACCACAGTAAACCTTTGTTTTTACCTTATTACTGCATCCCTTAGGAAAGCAGCTACCCAGCCACCTTTCCATGCTGAGCATCTGCAGGCCATCAGTGATAAAACTGGATATGCACTTGCAAGGCTAATTAGAATTGGAGAACTGACTGCTGGATGGACCCATCGCGGTCCATAGCACAGTCCATTTCTGCTCTGCACTGCAAAAGGGGTGTGTGGAAATCAGAGATGAGATAGGAGAGGTGGGACAAGAAAGACTTTCAGCATGGAAAATGAAAGCGGGATAGGTCAGCAGAGTGAGATTCTTCAATCTCCTATTTGGAAGGGTAAACATGACTTGTAAGTGGATTTTTCTTTTTCTCCTGATCTTGCAGCAGAAATCCTGGAGTTATGGAGCTGCACTTAGATAGAAATCCAAGGCAACAATAGAGAAGAAGGAAGAGAAGGGGTAGGGAAAAATTATTAAGAAAAAAAAGGAACATTTCCTCTTGTTGAGGTCTCAAAGAGTTAAGAGGCAAAATTATCCTTTTTAGAAGTTGTCTGCTGGGAAGACAACTTAATCCTGTGGTCAGCAGGCCCTGGCCTTACACTGCACCCATAATAGTCACACAGGCATCCCGAGCCAGGGACAGTGTTGCCACATCTTTAAAGACAGTTGACAGCTATAAGGGGGATGCTTTAATTGTGCAGGGTTAGCTTGTGAGTGAAGTTTTCCATGTTACTCTGTGTGTGGTTTGAGACTGGCTGGGTGCAAATGCAGCCAGTTTTTTAGAGGGTTTACTAGCTCCCAATGTTTTTTAACGGGCAAGAAAAAGCACTGTTTTGCTTGGGAAGCTATTTTAGTGTGCCCTTAGTGGTTTTAAAATGATCCTCACAGCAACAAAGGGTACTTTTCCCCCTAAAAAAGGAAAAGGGAAAAAAAAAAAAGACCTCCTACCAAAAAATGTGGGATTTCTAGTCTGTTGTTTCAATATGCTATACAGAAGAGCTTCTGACAAGTGATTGGAAAATACAGTTTAAAAAATTATTCTGACAAGACTGGATATAGAAGCATTTCAATCATGATATTATTTCAATGGTAGGATTATACACAGATATACACATCAAAGACGGAAACTATGATTAAGTCTTTTGCTCCCACTCTTCCCTTAATTAGCATTTTCACCTCTGTGACTTTTCTCAAGTGCATTTCTGTTCCACTGAGCTTTTTCAAAAAAGCCTACGTAATCCAAAGCCTCCATGATACAATATCTATATTTATAGTTACTGGACATATATTTATATAAGGAAGGAGCTATTAACTTCAGAGGCAGGCACAATGCAAATGACAACAGCATATGTTTGGGATCTTACCAGTAAGCCAGTAATGCTCAGAAATGTCAGTTCTGATGTAATGGTGGTCGTGAGAAGGGCCCAGAGAACGTGTCAGAGCAGTGTCTTTGCCAAGGAAATCAGAAGCTGTTCCAGCATAAAGATACTCATCTGCAAATGAAAAAGAAATAGGATTCCTACAGCTGTATCATAAAAAAAAATTAAGACTATTTACATTTTGTTGGGTGAACAACACCTGTGTTTAATTGGTCTATAAACTAATTTAATGCTTTAAAATATTACTGGATCATATTTTAATGGGTTTTTTGGTTCTGTGGATTTATTTACATTTAAATGAGAGTGATATTTGTAATTTTATGTCTGAGAAGTAACGTAGCCAACGCCTAATTTTCAGATCTTTTAGGCACTCAGGAAAGTAAATTTCCCAGGCTTTAATTGGAACTGGCTCTTAGGGGTATAAATGTCTATTTAATCAGAGCACCCTGTCCCATGCCCCTGGGAGCCATGGTGAGGGCATGGCCACCTGTCCATTCCAGCCACTCCTGTGTCCCAGGACTGCCATGGCCCCAGTGGCTTTGCTGCTCCTGAGCCAGAAAAACAGGATGGATGCTTCCCCACTGGAATGCTGCAGCCTGGCCCATTCCTAGAGTAAGGATCTCCATCCAACAGTTAATTCACAAAGAGGAATTCAGGCACAAATTCAGGGAATTTGTGTTAATGGCGGGAATCTGGCTACAGACAAACCACCATCATTTTAACACAGAGTGGTGTCCCTGAACTAAATGACACATTTTGTTTGAATAAGGCAGCCAGAATTTGCCTCACAAGGACACTACATCTGTAACAAAGTGCCCTGCCACTTGCTGCAACTACAGCCACCATTTGCTCTTCTGCCCCTTTTGTGGACAATGAAAATGCTAAGAAATGCACAATATTCTGTTTCCCTTCATATCTCAGTACTTTTCAAAAAGAAGCAAAGAAACAGTATCACTGTAAACCTTTTTTTGTTTTTTACCACATAGTGCATTTTAAAATACTCCTTTTTCTGTAAAATAACAAACTTTATTTGTTGGAGAGGGTTTTTGTTTTATTTTGTTTAATGACTTGCAGAAATAAATCCCTAGAATTCATAAAAACAAAAAAGTTCATGTTCACAAATTATAATTTTATAAAAAGCTGTATGATACATAAAAATCCCCCTCCAAAAGTTCCTCATCCAGGTTTTCTGATACCCCTGGGTTGAAACATTTCACAAGATCCTTTAGAGAGAAGCCTTTGTTGAGTGTGAATGCAGAATAAATACCATTCAACACTGATGTTTGTGCTTTCATTTGCGAAAGATGTAAATGCACTTAAAAAAATAAGATCAAGGGAGGGAAAAAAATCAACAAACCAACCCACAACCCATGATCCACAAGCACTTTATTTGTCCAAAAAAGATCTATCATCTTTCCTTTTACCTCATTATTATTGTTACTTCTGTATTATTTCCATGACAGTTGTGGAAAGCACATCTTTCAGACAGCATGTTGCCTTTGTAAAGAAACAATAGTGCATTCTGAAAGGTATTTGTCATAATGAGGGATGGGCAGGGTAATTGGTGTTTGCTAAGTGACAGGCACTCTGTGATCGATACATCTGAAGGGCCAACAGAAATTCTCCATCCTTGCTTAGGCTCTGCTGACAAGGCATTTTCAGCACTTCTCTCAGCATTTGGTATCTCTCATTCCAAGTTTCTGCAGCGACCTGAACAGTTTTGGTGAGTGGTAATTTGTGAGGATGGATGATGAACAGGTGATTTTTCAGTCAAAAAACCTAAATTGTTTTTCAAATTTTTCAAATTTATCTATGGGTCTACTTGAAGTGATATGCCAGGTAGTACTCAGATTGCTTGTTTCTACAAAGAATGAAAATTACTCAGTTGCATTAACTTACATATATGAGTGAAAATATAGTTAGATATTACTTAGCTCATAAATGTGTAACTGAATAAAAAGTGTTCTCTGAAGGATATAAGTAATCTTTATTGCCATTTGGCAGATAAATAAAAGTAGATGGAGAGAAGTGACATGCCAAGGTTACTCTGCTCATTAATGGCAGAGATGAGAGATGATCTCACCTGAGCTCCAGAGCAGCATCTTACCCAGGAACCATACTGCTCTCCTAGTTCACTTGGAAATAAGGTAAGCATCCAAAGATAGACCAAAACACATTCTCTGGTCAGGCCTGTAATTCCTTACAGTGCTCCTTGCACATTATTGTGAAGCACTTGACACCAGCAACAGTCAAAAGGGGTACAAGAATACCCTGACCATTAATTTAATCTAGCTCAAAAATTGTTATGCAGCAAAGTTCATGTCTTAGCTAGCTAAAAGACAGCAGCTTCTTCATTTCACAAGATTTAATAGAACAGTCAGAGCATGACAGTGCTACTGAAATTAGGCAATGCTGTAATAAATCACAGAGTTCTACTGCTTGCATTAAAAAAAAAAAAAAGTTTAAAAAAAAAGTTAAAGTTTCTGGAACCCCATTTTAAAAATAGACTTCACGGTCATTAAAGAGTACTAGGGGTCTCTGAGAAGAATAAGCACAGGCTTTAATCTATTGTTTTTAATAAAGGAAGTCCTGCCCCATCTGTAGGGTCAGAATCACAAATCATCTATCTTATTATCTGAGAATAAAGGCTGAACATTAGTCATATTCTTTTTATAACACAGAGTGACCGATACTTCAAAGCACTGTCACCACTGCTCTTTGGCTGTAAATGAAAACGTCATGGTGCTTCACTCTTATCTTGTATTCATATGCTCGACGGACAAGTTAAATGAAAATTGTCCAAAGCTATGAACCAAACCATGACAAAAGTAGCTCTTATAGTGATTTGAAATGCAGAGGTCAAGCTGACATTCCTTGGCCCCAAATGTCAGACCACACAGTGCTGGGATGCATGCAGCAGGCAGAGTGCACTATCTGCTCCTCGGCTCCCGGCTTCAGAAGTGGCTACTCGAGTAAATAGAAACCTCAGAAACGTATTTATGGAAATCCTGCATGTCAGCAGACTTCAAAGGGCAGAACATATTGATAATTGCAGAAAGAGGCCCACAAGGGCTTCAATCACTCTCTGTCCATGTGGGTTTTTTTGTTGTCCTCTTAAAGGAGCAATGACTGGGTGAGGGTGAAACCGCCTTCCTGCCCGGCTGACAGAGCTTCACTGCCACTCTAATGCCTCTGTTTGTACTGCCGCCCTTGCAGCTCTCTGCTGTCTGCAGCCCCAAGGCTTTCCCAGCTCTGAGAGCACAAACCAGCCCTGGAAACATGACCAGTGCCAGAGGAGCTCCAGCAGTGGCATCTGCTGAGCCCCTGGGCTGGCACAGAGCCATCGCAGGCCCGAGGGCAGCACCTGGCTCTGGTGGCTCCTTACCTGCCATCACTGAAGCAAATGGCTGCTGGGGATCGAATGGGCACTTCAACCTGCCTGACTCCAGGTTCTGGGTATCCAAACGGAGCACCATCTCCTGAGAATAAACACAAATTCATTATCCTGCTGTGGCTGCAGAGAAAAACTCACTTAGAGAGCCTGTTCTGCTAGTGTACAAAGTGAAGGTGTGCTAGACCATGCAGCTGTCATCTCAGCATTGATGTTTACAGTCTGTGTCTGTTTCATATCTGGATTTTTTCACTCAGTGTTTTACTGTATCCTGGTCACTCTATAGTGAAACACAAATCTTAAAAAAAAAATACAATTATTTTCAGAAAAGAAGAGATGCATTGTTCATTTCTACTCCAATTAAAAGCTGGGTTGTACTTAAAAGGCACTGGCTTCTATTTGGGAAAGTGCTGATAGACTGTATTGCAACAGGAGACCCTGAAGGGATTCTGGCTGACTCTAAAATTTCTCCAGGGACTGCTGAATAATGTTCACAACAGACACAGTTCAGACTCTTTTAAAATGAAAGCAGCATATGCTCTCTCTTATTATTTTTAACAAGGCTAAAGATACAAGAGATATCAGAATAGTTTCTTCCTTGTAGTTTCCAAATACAGTATGATTAATTCCTGGGCCACAGAACAAGAGCACAGAGGAAGATAAAGAAAATAAGTTATTTAAAAATTATTGCCAGTGTTTTCAGTGGGCAATCAACAACTTGATTCCTGTAGGCATCCATTTGAAGCTTTATTAGAGTTCTGAATTGCCAACAGGGATTCTTTACTTGCCCCTTTCAATGGTTTCCTGAAAGTACAGTTAACCCAAAATCCATAGTGAGTCCTGCTGAAGGCAAATTGATAGCTCAGAGGAGTAAAGTGAATTTTCCACAGGTGTAGAGACTCCACATTCAGAATTGTGCTGCCTTTAAGAGAGGGGAGATTTCCTACAGAAGTGCTTTTAACATGTTTTCGTTTTACATGCTTTCCTACCCACTAATGCTCAGAAATCTAATTAGAAACAAAAATTTAGAAGCTAGTTTAAAAAAAAATCAAAACATCTCCATGATTTCAACAATTAAATATGGGTTAAGTGATTTTAATTATTTTAATTATTCCATATCTCTACCTTGCAAGAGGCCAGGAGAGTACAAATGACAAGCAAGTATGTCCAGAGATGGCCACACAGGATTAGACTTCACAACACATTAATTCAATTCATCCTTAATGTACATCAGATTATAAATGACCAAACCTTTCTATGTTATTGAGGTGCCTCCTAAACTCTCTAGGCTCAAAAGACAAAAGCCCAGGATACTGAATAATTAAGCTCCTTAAGAGAAAAGAAAAATCAATTCCAATCTGGGAACATAAATTCAATTTCCTCCAGCAATCCTAGGTCATAGGAAGCAGAATTTAATCATCAAAAAAACTCGTTACCTTCCCAAACCTGTGGAATATCAGGCAAACCAAATTCTCAGGCTCCTGAAGTGAGCACAGCAAGGATAAAACTAAACTAAAAATTTGGATTTTTTTTTCCTGACAATGCTGGCGTCCCATTGTTCTTTGTTCTAGGATGTGGAAGCCTGAGCAGCTCAGAGAACCCTTGCCTTATCACATGGGAAGAGGCTGTCTGCAAGCCCAGCAGTACTCAGGGGACCAAGGGAGTTACAGATCAACATCAAATATTTCAGACTTCACCCAGACAAACTAATGGACACTACCAGGCATTCACACAGAATTAACCTCCTGCTTTCACTTCAGGCAAAGCTTTCAAAGAAAAGAGCATCCCTTGGAGAGCTGTGGCTAACAGCATCAACCAGGCCAAGCCTCTTCTTCACCAGCCAAGAGAAGTTTTGGCAGCGACTCGAGCAATAACAAGACGAGGACTTTAATCCCCTTTAATTGTGTGATCCCGTTGGGGATTTGTACTGCTTCAAAAGCAGTGGCTGCTGTGGTTTTGAGTCACCTGATCCACAGTGTTTTCCTCTCTGTTTTCACAGCACTAGCACTGGCCAGGAGAGCACTGTGCAGATCCACCAGCAGCTTTCAAAGGTCAGCCTGGCTTCCCAGCCTCCATGAGGCTTTCTCAGGGCCTGGCTCTCCCAAGCATCCCACATCTTCCTGGAGAGGTTGTTAATTACCAGACACTCATTATCTGTTATTATAACCCAAAAAATTTAAATTAAAAAAAAATAAAAAGGTGAAGGATGGAATAAAGAAAAAAATTCTGAGAGAATGGATTTCCTGGCTTCAGTTCCTACAAGGAGACATTTTCAACTGCCTGTCAAATTCATATCACTGTGCCTATCCTCAGCACTCTCCTGCCTTGTCACATTTATCTGAAGAGGCAGTGGAAGGACGGTGGCTGAAGAGTGTTTGGGCCTCCAAGAAGGAAAGGGGAAACATGCCTGATGCCATTCAAGGCTGATAAGTCAGTAGGAGGCTGCAGAAGAGCTGCTCTGTCAGAGGAGGCAGGGGTGAACACTGTCCAACCTACCCCTGCAGCTGAGCAACCAGGAGGAACGTGGGAGAGGCAGGACTGGGGGACAGTGAGGGGATTAGGAAATACAATACCAGGATTCTTCTTCCATTTCCTCTCACAAGGTAATTGGTCATGTCTAGCTGAGACAGACCCCTTGTCTAGACTGGCTGCTGGACTGAACAGTCAGACCAAATCCATAATTTCATAAGGTCTGGTGAAAACAACCTTCACAAATGAAGTAGATGAAATGAAGTAGGGCAATGATGGAGTGAATAAGGAATCTTGCTAATGACCCAGAGGTAAACCAGAGCCTTATTTATACTCTTGCTGAGAGCTGTTCTGGTCTACTCAGCTGTGTATTTGATCATTCAGCGAAGAAATCAGCATGATACAAGGGATCTAAAATTTCAGTTACTTCAACCGGAATATTTGAAGTAGTAAAGCAAAGAAGTCTACAGAATTATTTCATTGTAAACCAAATTATACACAATATACCAGACAATACCAGGAGCATGAATGGTTTATTAGGCAAAGAACACTACTGTGTAGATTTCTCATAGCTTTAGTTGTCTTTTGCACAGGCAGCCCCTCTGGGTTGGTCATCCAACCCACAGATTATGGGGTACATAATGAGAGATCTCAGTCTGGGCAAGTATTAATCCCTTTTTTTCTTCCGTGAGGATCTTCCCTTGATTGCATGTATCAGTGACAGAACAAGAGGGAACAACTTTAAATGAAATAGGGTAGGTTTAGATGAGATATTGGAAAGAAAATACTCTCTGTGAGGGTGGTGAGGCACCAGCATAGGTTACCCAAAGAAGCTGTGGATGCTCCACCCCTGGAATTGTTCAAGGACAGGCTGGATTGGGCTTTCAGCAACCTGCTCTAGTGGAAAGTGTCCCTGTCCATGGCAGGGGAGTTGGAATTGGGTGGTCTTTTAGAGCTCTTTCTACCCAAACTGTTCTGTGATTTTTATCCTGTTTCAGGTTAATCCATTTAGTAACTTTAGATGTCATTTCATATATTCCAAAATTTTACCCAGCCTTGAAGAAAAGAGAAAGCTATTTCTAAAGCAGCATAGGAAGCCTGCACCACAGGCAATCAGCCAGACAGGTCACATCTCAACACTGTCTGAGAACAGCGCCAGTGGGATAAATATAGCCAAGGTGTGATGCATATAGGAGTTAAAAAGAGACTTGTGTACTAAGTGGCTGCTTGACACAACACCAAAATTCTTCTGTTTTGGGGGTTAGGTCTCAAACATTTACCACTTAGGATAGAGATTTCTTTGTCACCAGCAAATGAAGACCAATCAGCTGCTAAAATTCAGCTCGGAATATGCCACAAGTGATGGACAGCAACCAACACCTCCTCAGTGACCAGACTGCAACACATTGCAAAGTCCTGAGACACTGTCCCTGCACTCAGGCTCAGAGACCCTTTTCAAAGTGTTCATTACTCTCATGCACAAGGCATAGGAATTCCTCTGTGGACCAAGGGAATATGTACATTAAAAGACAGAACTACAAGTTTCATCTTGAACTCTGAATGTATGTGCATAAGGAAAGTATGTGCAGAAATGACTTACTAGAAAGGAAGACATCTGGGTTAGATGTTCTCTTCACTTAGTTAATCACATGGAAGTGTCATTCCAAAGAACTTTGTGTATTAAGCCTGGGGAAAGTGCTTTGTTCAAAAGTGATATGCACATACCAAATGTGAGAACGAGAGTTCCCGTCTGACCCGCAGAATCCACCATTTATCCAGTTATTTATGCAAGCTGCTGTCAGGTCGTTTTTTACACACTCACATAGCATTTTCCAATCTATGATGAATGCTAAACAAGATGAGGGCTATTCCTTGACACATCACACTAGTGAGAAAGTTAAATTACCTCTTTGTGAGTTCCAAGTTCAATGTATCCACAGAGAGGGTGAAATGCTCCTGTGCCACAGACATAAACATGGGTCCGGTTGTACGGCTGGAGAACACGGATAAAATTGGCACATTCTGTCTGTTGGGAAAAGAAAGATAAAGGTTACTTTTTATATTCTTCTTTTTCACGTTATACATTCTACTAAGTTACAGCCATAGCACTGTTATACTTAAAACTACTGTAGCAGAGACTGTTTATGAAGCAGTTCAAAGCTGTGACAACTGCAATTTGACAGTGGCTATCGACCAGGCAGTTCATCAATCAGACCTGCAAACCTAATCCTGCTGTAAGGCTTACAGCCACAGGAAGCTGTGTGCTCACAGCATGGTTTGGAGGGTATCTGTTCAGCCTGTGTCGTAGCAAACAACACCTGCCAACAACTGGGCAGAGGTCGCAGAGCCACTGGGTTTGTGTGGCTACCAGAGTCCTCCTGCCTTTGCTTCCCACCTCAGTGTGCTTTAACACCAAATATTAAATTATTAAAGTAACCGTGATGGGCTGAAAGGCTTCAACACACTTCCAAGGCTATGCTTTGTTTCTGCACCAACCACATCTTACTGGTGACTTTTATTTGGTCATTTCTGAGTCCAATGGGCTGTCCTGGGTCTAGCTGGGCTTGGTCCTTGCTGGGAAGCACAGGCAGCTGCTACATGCTCCAAGGATGGTACATGGGCTGGAGGAAAAGGCTTGCTCTAGCTTTCCCCAAAATGAAATTAATACAGAAACACAAAACAAGTACTTCAGAGGGAATACACAAGATCTGTTCATACTTTCTAGACATGACCCTACACCTAAGTAGAAGTCCAAAACAAATATTTCCCTCCCAGGACCCTTTCCTTCTTCTCTTAGTATAGAAATAGAACAGCACAAATCTTCCATATACACCAGTATAAGAATATTCCCAGTGCTCAGCAAAGGTGTTGTTGAGGTTTTGACTGCTGTGAATATAATGGTAGCAACAAGTTAGAATAAGAAGTTGCAATTCTTCAAGCAGAGAGCTGACAGTGTTTTGAACTGGAATCTACCTTGGTAATCGACATGCTGGACAGAAATTAGGAGATTTTTTTGAGACAAAATGAGGAAATTTTATATTACAGCCAGGACATGTTTACATTTATGGGGCTAAGCTCTAGACACATGATGTAATCTGTGCTAAGCAAAACACATAAAAGTTGTATTGTATACACATATGTACCTGAAATATACTTCCTAAAGAAAATGTGTGGCTCCAGGGAAAAGCCACTGAGTCTGAGATTTTCTTTTAACCCTAACTGAAGCTGTCTGCAAGTTAAGTTGATTTGTACACTGCTCTACTTCTCTGTTTCTTTAAAGAATTATAATGAAGTTACACTCAGGACATTCCCAAGAAAAAAAGAAGCATTTTAATGCAAAAAAAAGAGGCTTTTATGGAAGCACTGCCTGGTATACATTTCTGTATATGTATACCAGGCAATGGTATACATATACAGAATATATATATATATATATATATAATGGAATGAATGGTAAGTGGACTTAAAGTAAGTCCATTCATCTCTCAGCTGCATTTATTACATCAAAGAAAAATCTAGCGTGATTGCTGTCTGCAATAATGAAATTTTTTAAGTATTAATATTTTAAAAACAATATAAATTTAATTTTTTAAATTAAGAAAATAACACTTGGGACATTAATTCAGAAGAAGTGTAACAAGAGCTTACTAAAGCATTTTGTGCATTTAGTAACAAACACACAGATATTCATAAATCACAGCAATAATAAAAAATATATATCATACTTACCTGGGCATCTTTCCCAGCTAATTTGCATAATTCTACCTTTTCTTTTGCTGCAGGCCAGTAAATCTGTAACATAGTTAAAATAAAACAAGATTATGAAGATTATAACTTGTCCTATGACTGACAGAATAATTATTATATGAATAAACACTTAAAACAGATTTAGGCATGTTGAAAGACCTTGCCGGTAAATTGAAATGAACATGACTTCAAATACAAGATTCCATTACAAAAAGTTAAGAGGTTTTAAATCAACCCCCTGATCTTTGTTTATTTCTTCATTGGCCACATGTACTTTTAAAAAGCATTCAGTTAATCTGGCCAGGGCACCTTGTCACCATTATGTGTTTCCCTCAAAGTTATGATGAGCCAAATCATCTGGAAACTAAGCTGATTGCAAAGCCAGGCAAATTACATTTGTGAAGAATTTAGACCAGTGGACTTGGCATAACTGTTATAAAAAAATACTTAGCTCTTTCTGCCAATTTTCAGTTGAAAAGAATTAGGTTCAAAAAACCAAGGATAGATAAAGAGAAATTTGTAGAACAAAAAGTACATTTGACAGACATCAACAGTGCATGGCTTAAAAATGTCACCCATCAACATTAACTGAGTTTACTGAGAAAATGAAACAGAGGTTTAGAGAAGAATCATGGACCTTAGATAAGTGGCATTAAATACTGATACAGTTTCTCCTTCTTTTTTATCTGCCCTGAAGAATTCTATAAAATAGGTTTTGATGTAGATGAATCCAGATGGCAAAATACTATCAGTTACTGTAATCCAAATTATGTTAGCAAAGAAATATCAATGAACAACAGTTCAGGTTCTGTTTCATTGACTTCAATTAAGCAGTCAAGACTGGATATGATTTAGTGTTTGATTCTACTAAATTTAAAATAGAAGCTAAATACAAATTCTTCTACAACCTGATAAAAATGGGTATTTTGTACTTCTAATTTTGACAAGACAAAACTATTGTTATTTCTCATAACCAACAGTAAAAACACCACAAATCACACTTAATTTTAAGCAAATATTGATTAGTACATTGCCTCAAGTCTCAGGCACCAGTCAGCAGGTCTTTAGTAGTCACAAATGCTTTTGAGTAGTCTCCAATAAATCTTTACAAAATCTTAAATAGCAAATATATAAGAATGAAGAATTATTGTAATATGCATCAGAAATAAAAACATCAAGGGATGATGCACAACCCAATGGCATATAAGAGGAGTTGACTGTTGTCACATTCCCTTTCACCCAGCTGTTGGCACCTTGTAGGAAGAGGCTTGACATACACAGGCTCAGTCCCACACTGGTAAGGAAAGCAAACAGCCTGTGTCCTGTGTCAAGTACCTTTATCATTTCCCAAAACCTACACTCACTGCTTCTCTCAGTCTGGAAACACTTTTGATTCTACTTCTCCCTCTCTCATGCCCAGTGAAAATGGATGTATTGGATTTCTGCAAGGAAATTAATTTCCTCTCATGTGAATTTAGTTACCTTTCTGATAAAAACCTCTTAGTAGAGATAATGTAGTTTAAGTTACTTAAACCTTAACCCTCTACAACAATATTTACACGGAGTCAGAGATAAGACAGTGTAACAGCATTGCAGCATTGGAGCACAACTTTGCTTTCCCAGAGCATTGTCTCAGAATGATGCAGTCACAGCATCCAGGTATGAAAATGCAATCTGAAATCAGCTGTGCCAGGGTGTGTGGGTGGCACAGGGCACAGTGCCAGGAAGCACAGAAAATACTGGGAATATCAGGAAGGGCTGAAGGTACGTCCCGTCTGGTCTCTGCCTGGGCAGAGTGGGATAAGTCTCAACAGCAACACAGGTTAAGTTTAAGAAGAAAAGCTGATGAGAAGGAACAGATAGAGGAATGTAAGATCATGGATCTCCAAACACATCTGGCCAAGGAGATTTGTCTGAGCTGTCAGCTCTCTTGTACATAAACTTTATGCCCAATTCTGCCCACGATCCCTGAATCATTTACAGTGAAGCCTAGAGGCCAAGGGGCTTGGGAGATGTTTGGCCAAGGTTTAATTATCCAATTAGGCACACAAGACATCCCTTTGTAGGCTTTTGAAAATGCCCAGCTCTCTTTGCAAATACACAGAAGAACTGGAGGAGTTAAAAACAGAGACATCTGCTTCAAGGCATCAGAAGTGCTAATGGACTTGACTTATCCTCAATTCTTCTACAGATTCCTTCATGGGAATTAGTGTTTGTCCTACAAGGCTGAACTACACACACTCCCACTTCTATGGTAATTGACCACAGACAATTATATTAAAAAATCAATTGTTTTACTCTCTAGTTACTCAACAGCCACAGTATTTAGCATTATATAAAGCCACATTAGACAATGAAAAGTGAAGCTAAGTGATCCAACTTGAAAATCAATTTGCAATTATATATGGGGTAGTAAAAGGGATATTTATTTGCTTTATATATGAGAAATGAGAGGTTCCCAGAAACTGTCAGTTCTAAATTGCAATGGATCATGAAAATGCCATAATAAATAATGAGTCGATGTGCTGAGCAAGAAAGCATAACCCTCATTTTTTATTACAGGACATGCTGTGTAACAGTACCACAGGTCTGGTTCCCTCAAACACTGACACAAATAATGTTACACATCTGTATTGACTTTTCTGCAGGGGGTGAAATTAAGTTTTACTATTATATTTTATTCCAATGAGTTACTTAGTTTTACAATTTCCAAAAAAAAGTAAGAACGCATGCTCCTGTAGTTCCTGTTAGATTTAAAATAACTGAGATTTTAAATGGTTTGAAGCTTTGAAATTGGCTTTTTTTTTCCTATTTACATGTTTTATTCACAATGCTAACAGCTTATTAATGGTTTTTTTTTCCCCAAATTCCTCAATAAGCAAAAACTTCAAGGAATGGGAACAAAAAACCAGATAACAGGCGCTACATATTAAAGGTGATAACAACATTGACTTAAGTTATAATCATTTTGTGTTACAAACAGTACAAATTATATATTTAATATATTTTATAGTTGCATCTGTATTTGAAATGTATGGAGAAATCTTAGAATAGCTTAGTGGAGTTACTGGATTTAAGGCAAGAATGCAACCAGTTGGAATATGTGAACTATATACTTAAAAAGGATTCTTTTCTTAATCTTCAGTTTATTTTCCTTTTAAAATAACCGTATCAAAATTCCAAAGGTTGGCTACTGTCATGATTTCCAGCTTTTATCTTCTATTGCCAAATTAAAACAAAAAACAACCTTACCATTACTTTTAAATCATTCTTCAAATATTTTCTTAAATTTAGCAACAGGAAAGAAATTAAATTCTCCTAATAAATGAAATTTAATAAGCTCTTTTCTATCAGAGAGAAAGAATACCTCCCAGGAGTACAAAATTAAGCAGTACATAAGTGTAGGACAGATAAGGTATCACTTTAAAGGGTAGCTGGAAATTGATTTCTGATTAAAACAAAACATTTAAAACCACAAAGGTCTTTTCCAAATCAGGAGCAGCAGACTTCTAAAAGTAACATTTTCCTGTCCACTAAATACACATTTTTACTATAAGAAAGGAATGAAAAGGAAAGCAAAAATTTTTTTTAAATGTGTATTATATATATATGTATTAGTATGGGGAGGATAAATATATCTATATATATACAAATATATGCACATGTGTATATACCTATGTGTGTGTGCATATATATATGTGTAAAAAAAATATATGGATCCACCCTTCTCATTCCAAAAGAGCTCAATTTCAGCTGCTATCTGTCATGAATTAATAATAGTGGTATTTTACTCATTTTTCAGTATCTATCTTTTTCTATCAGATTTTGTTCCTAAGCTAACACTTCAGAATATAAATCCTTAGGAGAAGGGATACTCAAAAATAAAACAGTGAAGTCTGATTACAAAAAAAATGTGTGAAATTTGAGCTTTTTCAAGAATCACTTCTAATTAGGCTTCTAAATCTAGGATGGTGCAGGACTTCATAAAATGAATGGAAAATGCTATATATTGTCACAATACAAAAGAGGAAGATCATAAGCTACCTAAACAATTAAAAAACCCATTGGTCTTACTTCATCTGCTTGTAAGGTTTCAAAACAAGTTTTTAGTTAGGAAAGAAATAACGCAAGTTTCCAATGAAAATGGAGTGTGGTAGAGAAGACAATATAACTTGGTAAACAGGCATTGGTTCACTCTAATATTGCACTTTAGTAACCCAGCTGAAGTACATTAAGGTGCTAGAGCTGCTCTTCCTCATGGCTCCACTTAAGTATTTATTTACTAAATTGTCTCATGGAAACTGATTAGCTCAGCTGCAAAAAACAGGCACTAGTACAAGAAAAAAAGAAATGGTCTGATAAGTAACTTGAGGTAGAATTTTACTCATGAAGTCCCTCAAGGAACAGAGCTCATCCTCTTTCATGTACTCTTCAATAGCTTTGGTAAAAACCCAGAACTCTGCCACAACCCATGCAGGTGACAGAAAGTTGAGAGGCACCACTAATACAAGTGGAATTAAATTATGCAGAAAGAATCAAAGGGCTCTGAAGACCAGAATTATAAACAGACAGAGAAAATGGGATAAACTGCTCATAAATAAATATATATCATAGATTGTGGACTTTTAACAAAAATTAAATCTGAAACATCAGAGTAACAAGGATCTGTTCCACGGCAACAACATTCCTAAAGAAGTTGCATGAAGTATCCCAAAGGGCCACTCACAACAGCTGGGTTATGAAAGGAATAGCTGCTCCATGAGGTAGGTGGTGCTGATAGCAGGGAGAGAGCCCAACTGACCAACGTGACTCCTTCCAGTTTCAGGTCCCCAGGACCGCCACGCTCATGCCACCAGCAAGCACTTGAGTGTCCCATTGAGGCTCTTGGCTTTCAGCAGCCCTGGGGCTTTCACAGGGGCCTCTGCTGTGCCTGATGCTGTGCACGTGCTGCAGCACTTGTCTATCAGTGCAGCCCCTGGTAGCACACACCCCAAAGTGCTCTGCTAGGGGTGCAGGGAGCTCCAGCACGGTGTGTCCCTACCAGG